AGCTCTTTCTGTGTTTGATTCTTCTTTCAGTTCTTTAAGTACAGGAAGTACAACCTCTTGAGAAGAACTCTCAGATACAAGTGGTTCTCCAGGACATACTGGAATTACTGTTTCACCCAGAGGTAGTGGGTAAATTTGAACTTCTTTTGAAAGCAGCAACATGTTAGCTTTTGGTTCCTTATAGCTTAGAAGTAAGCCATAGCCAGTCCCTGGTTTAAAAGAACGTAATTTCTGACTATTATGATTATAACAGTTTTACATGTCAACTTCCAGAATTAAAAAAATCATTATCTTTTGTTTTGAGACAAAAAATTCAAAAGTGTACATATTACTTAGAGAATGTTGGGTTTATAAAATAGAACTACAAGGGGGAATTGGACATAGCTTGTCCTGAAGGAATGCTTAGTCTAAACTAATTAGGCTTGAAGTAATTGTATAACCAAACATATTTAGTATGAACTATCACATAGTACTGAACCAAGTCCTAGTATGGTAGGATAAGTTTATAATAAACAAGGGAAAAATATCACACATTCCAATGTCTTATAATTTACAAACTTTATAATGTAGTAGCATCAAAAAATATTTTTCTAGAATTGAATTCTAATTCAGAACTTGAGAAATCTAAGTGCTTATTAATTTGCATTGAGTGTTCTTCTCTATAGCACTTAATATTTAATGATTCTTTAGTTTTAAGTCAGGAGTGTTGAAGATAGATTGTTTTAAAAGTGTTAGTTGTGACAAATTTTGTTATGTAACTCTGTATGAGTCGTACATTATGTTTGCAATTATATTGTTGTTTAGGCTTTACTAATATTGTTGATGTCATGTTACTCAAATCTTCGGTATTTTTCTTGTTACCTTAACTGAGTATTATTAAATTGTAGAGCCACTCGCTTAGTTTAGAGAAAGTTTGAGGCCACAGTGAACATTATATAAATATAGGTGACCAAGCGAGTGCAAGACAAGTGCAGTTCAGTCAAAAAATTACATAGCATGAGAAAACATGAAGTTAGCCGGCATGTGAGTGATTAGCCATAACATGCAATGTTTTAAAGTGAGTTTCACAGTTTAACACAGACGAGAATAATTTGTCTTGTCAGAGGGTGTTCTAAAGAAATTGAACCCCTCTGTGTGGACTTTGATGAAAAGGAAACAATTATATAATGTTTGAGATACAACTGTGGTAATCCATGGAGTAATGTAAATGAATAACTCACTGGTAAGAGAAGAGAAAAATAATTCGTCTTGTCAACTGGATTCTAAAGTAATTGAATCAGTCTGAGTGAACTTTTGACAAGAAAAGAGAATTATTTTGAGTTTTAGGTAAAACTGTGATATCCTATACTGTAAGGAATTTTTGTATATACGTTTGACTTGTTTTGAAGACATTATTTTAAAACAAGTTGATTGCGTGCTGTCTGTTTATTGTTCGAATTTATCACCAACAAATCACAGACACCTACTGTAAAAAATCAAAGCCCATATACATAAAACCCTGACATCTGCATTTTTTTCAATCTGAAAATTAGTGGTCCTTCTATTGAATGTATTTGCGTGTCTTAACTTTTAAAATGATATTTCAAACACAGTTCATTTAAAAACAGTATTATTTCTCTTTTATTACACTTCCCATACTTGCTAAATACAGTTTTTTCATTTTCAATTTCTTTAAATAGTTGTAGTATGCAAGTTTTAACACACCATACTCTTCTGTAGTGTAGATTTTTATTTACAAAACTTAGTATGATGACCATAAAAACCAAAATAAAGCAATATTTTACTCAACATTTGGTTTCTTAAACTTCTTCAGGTGTAATCTACTTTAAAGTCAATTGTAGAATATGTAACGAATTTTACATTGGAGAAGCATCTCATGAATTATACGACAGATTTCTTGAGCATTTATGTACCTTAAAACAACTCAACAAATGTGTCAGTGCCACAGTGAATTACTATGTATAACAACATGGTAGAATGACATCTGACTGTCCTTTACATATAGAAATCCTTGCTAAAGCTTAAGATTTTCTTGACTATAAGTACAAAGTCCTTACTTATTTTGAAAGTTAGGCCGCATGATTTGCATTATGATCGTAAACTTTTGTTTATTTCTCTCTAGTTAATTTTTTCTTTTGATTATAAGTTACTTCACATTTTATATTTTATGTTCTGTATATCTTTTACATCAAATTATTTTCATCATAATTTTAAGCTGAATATCTACATTCATACCATGAGACATTGATTTTACTGAATTTTTTTTTGTTCAATATAAACAGTGTGTGTGAACTTCTTCCATACTCTCCATTCTTCTACAGAATAAATTTAAGTGTATACCTTGTTATTCAGTATAAGTAGTAGCTTATTCCTGAAGAAGTTGTAAAAATTAAACAAAATAAATATAACCTTGTTCTGGAGTTTATGATTGTTTTTTTAATCATATAAAATGTTTAAGTTACTCCACTCAACACTTCATAATATGTATTTACAAAATTCTGGATTTTCTTAAGTTCTGATTCTGCAACTCTAACTCTAGTGGAAGCAATTGATAAATTGCAGTTTGAGATGTTACTTTTTTGTGGTTTGACCAGTCAAGGAACTTATCTGTTTTTGTTTTATAGTATAATTGCATCATATTCCTGTTCATCTTGTGTTTGGAGGATGCCTTTTTGCTGTCACATGGAGTAGATATTTCCTCATTTTGGTGCCTTTTTTATAATCTCTAATTGGTGAGCTACAGAGTGAATATTCTTTGTCTATGCAGTTTGGGTGCTTTTGGAGAGATTTGTGCCAACATCTGAGGAAGGCAGGGCATCTATGAGCTAAGACAGTAGGAACCCACTTTGGAAGTCCAGTCTTTGCATCATCTTATTTCCACTGCTGATGATGCATATTTTATTTTAATTTCAAGTTAATTCAGGTTTATTTGATTTTGTCAGAAAGTTACTTTTTATATAATAGTAAATTAATATAGTAGGTGTCTGTGACTTGTTGGCAAGAAATACAACAAAACAAAGAGCACACACTCCACTTGTTTTTAAAATAATATATATATATATTCAGAACATGGTCTTCAATTTTGTTTGGTTACAGAGCTATCAAATGGAAAATCAAACCCTTCCTCCCACACCTTTCATAATTCGTTAATAGTTCTCTCTTACATATAATTATACTTTACCTATAACCAACAGAAAGTCAAGGTTTTCAGTTATCAAATGACGTATTGTATAACATTATTTTCACTCAGAGTACCAACATCGTTCCCACAAGAAAGTTAATGACTAAATTGGATGAACTGGTAATGACTCTTGTCACATAGTTAGAAAGCCACAAAAATTTTGAGAGGAAAGGCTGTTGGTCCCCCATCTTGTGTTCAAGTAACTTCAGCACAGAATATCCAATATAGCACTTGGATGGTCAGATAATGAGGCCTACTGCCCTCACTCACCAGAACAGCTCTCTAAGTCTATTCAGGTGGTCTTCCCATCTTGCAGTGTGTGTGTCAGAATGTCATCCATATAATGTTCAATGTTGATGGTGTTGTACAACATCCTTCTCATCATGCAGTTGAACCATACTGCTGAGTTGACTAACCCAAATGGCATTTGCTTAAATTGGTAACTTCCATCAGGTATCACAAATGCTGTTTTCCCTTTAGATCCCATCTCCATTACTAAGATCAATATTTGAAAAGAACCTGGACTCATCTAGTTTTGTCATGATAGCCTCTGGGTTGCCCATAGGTTCGGAGTTGAACTTCGTCACAAGATTAAGCTCTACAAGTCTATGCAGTAGTGGTGAACAGTAGGCTGAATTTCAAGGCTTGATGATTCCAGCTTCCAACATTGCTTCAACTTGCTCTTTCAATATTTGCATCAGCCCTCATACTGTTCTTAAATACTAACTCGAAGGGTGAAAATCCTGTATTTGCTTGTGGGACTTCTCAATAAGCGAATAATACTGCCTGCAAGTACCTGTCCCAGTCATGTGGTCTCTCTTGGCACATCTGATTTAGCATGTTATTTACAACTGCATTGACTCTCTCACAAAGTCAACTACATTTGGGATTGTATGGGGTGGTAAAGACCTGCAGAGTTCTGACGAGTCTGCAAACTTCCTGCATCAGTTCTGAAGAAAACTGGGTCCTTCTATCACTCAGGATTTCTCTCAGAAAACCTACTCTGCAAAATATCTTCAGGAGAGCTTTTGCTCCTCTCTCTGTCTCTATCTTTGTTAATGCTATTGCTTCCGATAACGTGTTGCCTCTTTCATTTAACCACACTGGCAAATCTCTACACTTTTCTACTACATACTAGGTCCAGAAGTCTCTTGTTGTAGTGTTCAGGTGATTCTATGCTTCCTTTATTTGGATTCTTCAAATACCTCAATAGAAATGACAAAGCTAAATATTTATTTTATAAATTTGTGATTTACACAATATTCATACCAATCAAACTCATTTTACCATGAGAGTAAGCCAGTATTATAATAGTTAGCTAACAATCATCTAGCCACTTTATTACTGGCCTATAATCACAGTAAGTTTGATCCCCTATCTCATAAATCACAGATTTGTAAACAAAATATACATTATATACTTTAAAAATTTTCATGTTTAATTACTCAGTAACTTACCTGAATCTAAGAAAGAGCATCTACAGTAGAATGGTCTTAACAGTTCATAAGAATCTTTTATTAGTTTGGCTTGTTTTCCAACTGTCACATCATACAAAAACTTGATAAGTTCCTTCAAACAGCCAGTTTGTGAGCCTGCTGAAAACGTATAGAATATTATGGGTTATAAATTTCATCAAGTTTAATACTTAAAAATTATTTTAAAAACAAAGGGTTCATCATATTATAATAAAACTATTTTGAAACCTCACCACATTGTTAGAGTTCATATTAACTTGTTCAGTCATGTTTTACCTGATGACCAAGCATTTTGGCAAGGGCCTTGTAATGTAGTTCCCACTGCAAAAGGCTCTGCTGTAAGGCAGCCATGTCCAAAGCACATCACTCCTTGCTGCACCCTTTCCATAACCTATCTAGTGTACAAGAATGATGGTTTACAAGTGCCCATTTCAACAATTTGATTGCACAGAAATCCATATGTGCTGTATTTGGTGATTTGATTGGTATGTCTTCATATGGAATAGCATAAATATTTTTTCCAGCTTCTTGAGATATCTAATGGTTGAACAGGAGAGACAAATAGATGTCTAATATTGGTAAACTCATACCTGGTTTACGTACAAAGCTGGTATTTCTGTTGGTACAAAGGATTAAAAACAATGGTCTCACAGTAAGTAGAGTTCACATTTACCTTTTTATCCACTTTCCTTATCCCTAACTTTCACTTGATGTAGTATCCAGTGATGATTGTGAATTCCTTTGATAAGACATTGCAACATGTCGTGTGTCATTTTGAAATGTTTTCACCCACTGACTGATCAAAAATGGCACAAAACATATTACATACTGCTTTATCAAGTATTACTACGTATTGCCATATTTCCACAGCTAGGTATAGTCCACAAGTTTATCACAATTGGCCTTCCTTTTATGGATATGTCAATGGAGCAACTTGTGAACATGACTTATATCATTTTCCAGATAGAGATCCTTTTGTTTCATACTGTTGCCTGATACATTAGATTGCTTTTGACAATGAACTCTTTTTTTCTTCTCTTGCCTGTTTAAAATACCCTATTCTATTTACCATGTTTGGAGTACTACTTTTTTCTGGATGATCTCGGTGCCCCAAGCTGATCCATATTTTTTTATTTACGAAGCCATTAAGTACAGGGGATACTCCATCTTAAAAATTCTAAGTTCCTAATTTTGATACATTTTTATGATCTGAGCATATGAACAATTATGTCAGAAAAGGCTGTTATCCTTCCCAAAATTGCTTAGTTTTCAGTGGCATCAGTGCCCGGCATGGCCAGGTGGATAAGGCGCTCGACTCACAATCTGAGGGTCGCGGGTTCGAATCAGCATTCCACCAAACATGCTCGCCCTTTCAGCCGTGGGGGCGTTATAATGTGACGGTCAATCCCACTATTCGTTGGTAAAAGAGTAGCCCAAGAGTTAGCGGTGGGTGGTGATGACTAGCTGCCTTCCCTCTAGTCTTACACTGCTAAATTAGGGACGGCTAGCGCAGATAGCCCTCGTGTAGCTTTGCGCGAAATTCCAAAACAAACAAACAAACAGTGGCATCATATTAACTACAAAATGACAAACAATGTCAAAATGTGGTTATAATAAAATCTATTCCAACCTGATTTTATGCCAGCTGTGGTTGTCAGGTGACTTGCCAATTTAAAAATGTTTTAATATAATGTACTCAACCCTCTGTACATCTATATGAGATAGATGTTTCCACACAGCTTAAAAGGTTTTACAGTTTTTGAAAAAAAAAAAAGTTACGTGAAATATACAAATCATTACAATGTTTTGTTGTTACAGAGCAACTAGCTTATTCAAAAATTATTTTTATTCATACTTTCTGAAGACTTCTTAAGGTGATATCAGTACTTTCTACTTTCAGATATGTTGCATCAAAAATGATAGCTTTTTCACCAAAACAAGTAATTAAAAGTTTCCTTTTTTACATAAAACATAACATACCCTTTTCTTTTTTTGATCCTTTTCTCTAATTTCCTCTGTAAAACACCAAAATAAAAAGCATATGATTTGGATTTACTGAAACTAATTCATTCTATTCACTCATTTAACATTATGTGAAAATGTTAAAACAAAAGTCAGATTTCTTTTTCTACTGTTTAAAGATACATTAAACTATTTCTCATTTTTAGGTTTCCATGAGGTCCGTTCATGTGATGAGTTGGATTAGGTTGCAGAACAGAATACCCAAGATATGATATAATATGCTCTTCCAGCTGTGAAGGAATCATAATTATAATAAAGAATCCCAGTCTATTGTTAAGAGAAGGCACGTAGGTGGGAGGTATTACCAATAGATTGCCCTCCCTCTGGTCAAAACTAGTAAGTTAGGGATCTCTCACTTGAACATTTAGTATGTGTATTGCACAAGGTGCTAATCTAGTTAAAAATACCAAATATTAAGGTTTACATGAAGCTGCTCGAAAGATGCTGATATAATATTAAAATTTTGTATAGATTGAATAAATATATTAAGCTTTAAACAGACAATTTAACAAACACACTATGCTACCACAAGATCCAACTCAATTTTAAACTTAAAGTCAATATACTGAAAAGGTCAATTATACCTGGTGATTACAAAGAAAATTCCACATTTTAAATAACTGTATCTTCAAATCTGCTTGTCCAAAAGAACAAAATTTCATCACTGGTTCCTTGATAATCACAAGTTTTATTAAGGATAGTTTTAATATAGTACAAAACCATATTATACTGCATACTTAAATTGCTTTTGTCACAAATTAGTTTGCTTTTCTCTTCTTTTTTCTCTTTCAACAATATAATATTGATCTGATTAAAGTGAATTTACATCAATGTGCAGGATCATGCAACTGTTGTTTGGCTGTTCTATCAAAATACTGGTAATTTTATTATGGCCAAAAGGCAATTCCAAAGAATAAATGGATGATGCTTATCTCAAAAGGGCCATAAGAATGTTAAAAAATTAATTTCTCAGTCCCAGGCAAATGAATCCACAAAAGGTATTCCTTATTATGAGCAGGCTAACTATATCAATGAAAACAGCAGTTGAGGTTGTTCAGAATACCTAAGCACAAGCTGAGTCGCATCCATTTGGATCAGTGAATGATGTTGGTGCTCTATTGAAAACTTGATCTGTTACAAACTACAATTATATAAATATAAAAAAGAAACATATAAGTGCAAAGCTTACCATTTTAGACACCTGTATGCAATTAAAAATGGTGATTCACCTTCATGACTTGACTTTGCTCATTAGGTTTTGGCCAATTTATTGAATGATGAAACATGGCTAGTAAATATTCTTTGAACATATGAAAACCCCTCTCATTTTAGTAGATATTTCAACTAAAAAAATGCTGACATCAACGAAAACTTACACTCGTTTAATTAGGAGCTTACTGATGATCCTTGTAATATTCACCAGTATTTTTTCATCACTGATTCTTATTTCTTTGTAGATGTTAGTGAAAACTGGTCATGATAAAAAATTTTTAATAAATGTAACTGTCAGGAGAAAATGCTGGAAGATCATGTTATTTCATGCCAAGAGAACTGATGCATTGAACACTTCACCTTCTAATAAGAAAGGGCAATCACTCATATCTGTATTTTAGCTAAAAAAGCTTGGTTCTACAAGACACTTTTATTGATAACAGAATCAATGGTAAGAATCAACAGAAATGGTAAGATCTCTAAACAATACATAAGCAGAATTTTGGCTGTGGGTTTTTTTCTCATGATAGCCAATTACTTTTATGCATCTGAAAATGGCCAGTAGAAATAACATAGTGAGGATTGATGAATTGTCCTGGACATTTCTTCATGGTGAAAAAAACATAATGAGCACTTTCTGTGAAAGTTTTTAAAACACCTTATACCATGTTCAAACTTCCCTGAATAAAGGTTATATTTTCAATTTGCCTCACTTAATGCTAATAGGAAAGTAATTATTAAGATATAACCATTTTAAACAAGAGATTTTCTTTATAATCACTCTACTACATAAATGACTAGTAAATATATATCTATTTTTCTATAAATTAAATAATAAAGTTTATTATCATTAAACACAAAATTGTTATCCATATATATATATATATATATATATATA